CGTGCAAGGCACCAAAGCTAAACAGCCAGGCCGCATCAGTGGACCCTGGATGCCGAAGTGCAGGACTCTCCTCCCAGAGGAGCCCTCATCCCCAAGCTCTCCCCACCTCCCCCTTTCCAGTGAGCAGTCGCACGTTTTCCTTTGCTCTGTGGGCACCTGGCACTTTACTCTCCGAACAGAAACTGCCTCCTACGCAGAATTGCACCAACACTTAAAAAGTACAGGGAGAGAAGTCATCTTCCTCCTACCTTCTAAAGAAAATTCTGCTTGCCCTTGGGCTCCCAGGCCCATGGGGTGTGAGCTGGGGGAACAGGTAGAGCTGGGGACTGGAAATGACGCAGAGAGAGCCACTGAGGTTCAGTAGTCAGAACCACCAGGACAAGCAGGAAGCAGGCCTGGGCGGCGGGAGCAGGTGGGAGGTGGGCAGAAGAGCATCAAGTGCTGAACTTCGGGAAAGAATGTTCAGGGTTTTTAGGAAATAAAACTAGAGAATGTGGTCACCTACGTGTCGTGGTAAAGAAAGAGATAAGGGGGGAAGGATTTGAAGACCTGGGGTGAGTCATGTACATGGAATTCGCCTTCATTATCGCTGGGGGAGATTTCCAGAACAGTGATTTTTGATTCTTTTTTGGGATGTTGTACTGTTGTTTCTTTTATGACACCATGGTAATAAGAGTTAAAAAAAAATCTTTAATTGATTCCTATTAGATTAAAAAGAAACACGTCTCCTGAGCACACATGGTCCTCCCCCTCCCACCTTCAGGAGTTATTTCTGAGACCCTGGCAAGGCCTTTCGGGGGGAAAAGCACTATCGCCGGGGGTTCTGCTGTGACAGAGCGGTAGACCTGGACATTTCAGGGCTTCTCAGTTCCAGGAAAGGGTCTTTGATGAAAGGAAAGTCTGTAAGAATAAGAGGTCCTGGAACTTCCCCTTGTCCCGGGATGGCCTCCTTAGACACTGATCGTAATTCACCATGACTCTGGAATTTTCCATGATTTTTATCTAGAAAAAACACCGTCATGTCATTGAAGGGTTTCTAAGGACACAAAGTTCCCTCAAGGATTATTTGTATGTTTAGAAACTTTTTTTCTTTGTGGTTGAAATCCCAGATTCCAAATACATCTGAGGTATTGTGTCTAGGCAGAATTCTAGGCCGGCAAGCTTTTCATCTTTTCAACTTTAAGTGTGTTGTATCATTACCTTCTGGCTTTCATTGTTTTTGTTGAGAAGTCCGTTGTCCTTCGTCATTGCTCCCCATATGCACATGTCCTCTCCCTCTGGTCATCTTTAAAAATTCCTCATTATTGTCCAAGTGACGTGCCTCACGCCTGTAATCCCAGCACTCTGGGAAGCCAAGGTAGATGGATCACCTGAGCTCAAGAGTTGAAGACCAGCCTGAGCAAGAGTGAGACCTCATCTCAATTAAAAAAATAAGATAGAAAAACTAGCCGAGTATTGTGATGGTGCCTGTAGCCCCAGCTACTAGGGAGGCTGAGGCAGGAGGATCACTTGAGCCTACAAGTTTGAGGTTGCTGTGAGCTAGGACACCATAGCACTCTACTGATAGTAACAGAGTGAAACTCCTTCTCAAAAAAAAAAAAAAAAACAAGAATGTCTCATTATCTTTGGTCAATTTGACTATGCTATGTCTAAATATGTTTTAAGTACACAGGATGGCCATAATTATTTTAAATTGCACACGAATCTTATGGCCACCCTGTGTGTGTGCATCCTCCTTGGTATAGGGAGCATCTTGTCATCAAATTTCAGAAATTTTTGCCCATTATTTCTTCAAGTATTTTTGTCCTCTCTGTTCTCTCTCCTCTCTCTTTGGGATTTCAATTAAATGTATATTAGAGTATTTGATTTTTTTTTTTTTTGAGACAGAATCTCTCTCTGTTGCCCTGGGTAGACTGCCATGGAGTCATCATAGCTCATAGCAACCTCAAACTCTTGAACTTGAGCAATCCTCTTTCCTCAGCCTCCCGAGTAGCTGGGACTCTGGCACCCACCATAACACCCATCTAGTTTTTCTCTTTTTAATAGAGATGGGGTCTGGCTCTTGCTCAGGCTGGTCTTGAACTCCTGAGCTCAGGCGATCCACCCACATCAGCCTCCCAGAGTGCTGGGATTAGAGGCGTGAGCCGCCATGCCTGGCCCCTAGAATATTTTATATTGTTACACAGGTCGCAAAGGTCTAGGCACTTTCTTTCTCAAAGTTTTTGTGTTCATCTGTTTGCATAATTGGTACTGATTTGTCCTTAAGCTGTGCTCAAACTCACTTTAGATGCTGTCAATTTTAGTTCTAGAATTTTCACTGGGTTCTTTTTTTATGTAGTTTTCATTTAAACTGAGACGTTCTATGGTTTCACTCATTACAGCCATTTTTCTCACTAAATTAACAGTTGATAATATTTTCTTAAAGGGCCAGAGAGTAAATATTAAATATTAGGCTAACTGGTCATATAGTCCCTCTTCTACAACGCAACTCTGCAAGTACAGAAGAAAATCAGATGTAGACAAAATGTAAATGAATCAGTCTGGTTTGGTTCCAATAAAATTTTACTTATAGAAATAAATGGCAGCCACTGTGCAGGCCATAGTTTACTGACCACTGCTTTTAAATCATTGAGCACATTCACTATGACTATTTTAAACTCCTTCTCTTCTAATTTCAAATTCTGGGCCATTTTAGGGTCTGTTTCTATTAACTGCTTTTCAGAGTGGGTCATATTTGCCTGTTTCTTTTCATGTTTAGAATTTTTTTTTTTTTTTTTTTTGCAGTTTTTGGCCAGGTTTAAACCCACCACCTCCAGTATATGGGGCTGGCGCCCTACTCCTTTGAGCCACAGGCACCACCCTCATGTCTAGAATTTTTTTAACTTGCCAGATATTGCAGATTGTACATTATAGGGAGCCTGGATTATGTTGCCATTCTTTAAAAGGGGATGCATTGTGCTGTGACAGGCAGTTAAAGGTCTGGTGCATCCTCTTGTCTCTTGGCCTTGGTTCTAGTCTTTGAAAGGGAGAGTCTATTTTAGTTTTGAAATGAATCCTAGGTGTGCCCCTTCCGCTAGAGCAGAATTGGAAAACTACCACCCACAAGTCAGATGCTTGTTTTTGTAAATGCAATTTGGTATAACTGTTCTCTCTGCTTCCACAACGGGCAGTCGGCGCTAGAGAGCTCACTGAGTCCTGCCCTGCACAGGTTCAGCCCAGCTCTGGGTCAGGAGCCTGAGGGGGACCCCCACTTATGCTTCTAGCGCCCTGTTTGTGCAGCGCCCTCCTCTCCAGAGCCCCACCCTACAAATCTCAGCCACCCCAGGTCAGTGAGACCACCACTGCTGTGAGACCACCACTGTGCTTGGGGCTGCCTGGGAGGAAAGTGCCTTGAGGGATGCCCTGGCAAATGCTGGCTCATTTCACATACTTCCCTCCTCCTAAATCCTGTAGCCCTGAACCACCCATTGCTCAATACCTGAACACACTTGATGTACACATTTGTTCTGGATTTTCAGCTGTTTTCAGCAGAAAGGTAAGTTTCTGTCCTGTTGCTCCATCCTGGCTTGAAGCAGAAGTCCTCACAGCCCCTCTAGCTATTCTGCATATCTTGCTTAAGCAACGGATTTGCCTTCTGATACTTAAAATGTTGGTTAATGTCACTATATAGTAAGTGTCGCTAAACGTACTGATGATATGGGCAGTAAAGAGAGATGACCTCTTTGCAGGAGGTCAGGTTCGGGTGAACGTCAGCCCAGTCTCCATCTGAGTTACTGTTCTCTTTTCCCAGACGGGAGAAGGAGGGAAACAGAGCTAGTGTCTGTCCTACGCCTGTCACTTGCTGGCCCCTCTGCAAGTTGCCTGAGTTTGTTATTTCATGCAGTCGTTAAATTAGTAAAATTATTATTATTACACACATTTTACGGAAGAGGAAACTGAGCCTTAGGAAATGAAAACCATAAAGGTACACAGCCAGTAAGCTGGGGGGCTGGAATTTAGAAACCCGGCTTTCCCCAAGCTGCCTCTGCCTCCTTACGTGACTACCAGGATTCACCAAGCGCTTGTGCGATCTGCCCACTGTACTTGTAATGCTGGCCCCCTGAGCCTGTTCAGACTGCTTTGGTTTAGTCCGTTCTTGGAGAGAGATGAGCTGAGCTGCCCAAGCTCTCTCCACCTTCAGTTCTCAGGGGAGTCTGGGGAGGTCTTCAGGATGCCACGCAAGATGACCAGACGCTGGGCAGAGTCTGAGGGCCCAGAGAATCTTCCCTCAACCTCGGCAACGAATAAGCAAAAGGCCGACCCACAGCAATGAGTATGGCACCCACCCCGACCAGTGTCCACGCCTGGGTCAGGGGGGTAGAAAGGCTCACTGCAATACGGACTCCTGCTTTCTGCCCTTTCCCCATCTCTGTTATCCCCTCATCCACCTCCTTTATCCGGCCTGTGAGATTTTCCCCAAAATCTAATCTTTTGAAGCAAGATTACTTGTTGCAAAGTATGGCATGGAATTATTTTCCAGATTCAACCAGCTCCGTGTTTCCCCTTAAAAGATGGATGTTTGGCCACTGGTTCTGGTGTTCTTAGTGGAATACACGTGTCTGTGTTTTGGGCTAAGAGAGAATAAGGTTTTCATGGTAAGAGTGTATGGCAGACTCAGAGGTGGAAAGATGGGCAGGAAACACACTTCCTACTCGACAGGCATTGAGCCCCACTTTATAAATCCTTCTCAAAACATGGGACCGAATCAATTATAGAAGATCTCACAGTCTTATTTCCTGAAATGTGCTTTGCTCAGACACATCTTGCCCCCAATTACATTTGTGTATTTCCTCCCTTCCTTTCCTCACAATTCCTTGGCCCTCCTTTCTCTTTCTATATTTGCTTCACACTGAGAATGAAACTTCATTCATTTCTACTCATTCAGTTTGAAAAATATTGCATTTTAGTTGGATTTGGTTGCTGTTAGCTTTCCAGCCAGCTCTGCTGCATTTATAAAGAACATGGGTAGCAGCCTTCACTCCTTCCTAGGAGAACGCGCCGTATACACAAATCCTTTAACTAAAATGAAGAAATGCATAATAAAGTCATTGCATGATTAAATACGTGAGCGTTTGCCTGGGGCATCCTGGACTCCTAACATGCTTCTTTTTCTCTGCAGAGCTTTGTGAGGATGACCCGCCAGAGATCACACACGCCACATTCAAAGCCTTGGCCTACAAGAAGGGAACCACATTAAACTGTGAATGCAAAGGAGGTTACCGCAGAATAAAAAGTGGGTCACCCTACATACGCTGTGCAGGAAACTCCAGCCACTCTTTCTGGGACAGCAAGTGCCAGTGCATGAGCTCTGGTAAGTGGCCCCTTTCATGATGACCAAGGGAAAGGGAGCCCACAGCAAAGACCGGGCCCGGTCTACAGGAGGACTAATTTTAGTGGTTCCCAGAATATTCATTCCCTAAACAAATACGAGTGTCTACCAGTTCAAAAACAATTCTAGGCAATGTGAATCCCGCAGACACGGCCTACGAGGTACTTATATTTGAGGCAGACATTAACACCAATAATTACTGAACAATTAAGAAATAATTCTAAAGTCTGGGCAGGGTGGCTCACACCTGCAATCCTAGCACTATGGGAGGCCAAGGCGAGTAGATTGCTTGGACTCGGGAGTTCAAGACCAGCCTGAGCAAGCTTAAGACCCCATCTTTAAAAATTAGCCAACGGCCAGGTGCAGTGGCTCACGTCTGTAATCAACCTGAGCAAAATTGAGAGCCTGTCTCTACTAAAATAGGAAAGAAAATAAAAAACTAAGAAAAGAGGATTGCTTGAGCCCAAGAGTTGAAGGTTGCTGTAAGCTATGATGCCATGGCACTCTACCCAGAGGCAACAGGTTGAGACTCTGTCTCAAAAAAAAAAAAAAAAAGAAAAGAAAAGAAAAAAAATAGCTAGTTGTTGTGGAGGGCACCTATAGTCCCAGCTACTCAGGAGGCTGAGGCAAGAGAATTGCTTCAAGCCCAAAAGACTGATATTACTGTGAGCTATGACATTACAGCACTCTACCCAGGGTGACAGAGTATTCTCTGTCTCAAAAAATAATAATACTAGGGTGGCACCTGTGGCTCAAAGGAGTAGGGCGCTGGCCCCATATGCTGGAGATGGTGGGTTCAAAACCAGCCCCGGCTAAAAACTGAAAAAATAATAATAATAGTAATAATAACAATAGTTCTAGCTCATGACTTTGTGAATGTACTGAACTGTGGACTTAAAAATAGTTAATTTTTTGTTATGTATGGTTTATGAAAATTTTGAAAAAAATAACAACAAAAAGTATGAATAGGCTGTAGAATATTTAAAATCATACCAATCCTAATGGGGGGGTCTCTGCCTCTCCATTAGACTGAATTAATTCATCAGAGACTGCTTTAGCTACTGAATTTTCCATTTTTAACCCTGAAATCTCCTCGCACAGCCCCGGGTCCCCACTGGGTCTCTCATTCACTCTGCAATGTTAGAAGGTGGTGGATCATGATGGCCTACTGGCCTCTTTGTTTCTGAGTCGTGGAGGTAGTGTTGGTCAGTGAACCTCAGCTCGCACGCCGACCACTGAGTTGGAAGCTGGCTGCTCTGCCGTGGCACCTTGCCGGCTTCCTTCCTTGTACTGAGCTGGGATCCTCTCCCCCACCTTACTGGGGTACTCACGCTCAACCCCTTCACCCCTCACCACAGAGAGGGCTGTCCTAGAAGTTCCTTTGTGCTGCCTGGAGATCCCATCCCCCTAGCTTCACCCATCACCCATCCTGAGCTGCTTTAGGGGATCTAGTGAGCTGTGGACTCAGATCCCTTCTAGTTCTCGACACATGTTCCCACGCACAACATCCACTGAGGGGATGTCAAGAAAGGCCCTCCCGTTGGTGAGATGTGCATATGCAGAAAGGTTTTCCACTGAAGATCTTTCGTCTCGGTCAGAAACACATGGTAGGCATTGTCGTTACACAGGTGACGACCGAGAGGCTATAACCCAGATACCACGAGGCACACCGTGGGCACTAGAGACGCTATTCTAGAGCGGATGAGCACACAGGCAGCATTTCCTTTCTTTCTTTCTTTCTTTCTTTTTTCTTTTCTTTTCTTTTTTCTTTTCTTTTTTTTTTTTTTTTTGTTGTTGTTGTTTAGGATTTGTTGAGGATGGAGCAATATTTTCTGCTTTAAGCATCTGTGAAGTTATTTGCTGCATTTCTCTCCTGTTTTCTAGCCCCTCGGCACAGAGCAAAAGGAGTCACACCCCAGCCTGGAGAGCAGAAATCGAGCACGGTCTCGGGAATGCCACGCCCCTCGCAGCCTGTGGACCAAGCCAGCCTTCCAGGTAGGAGCTGCGCCCCACACCTGCCTGCAGGCCGCTCCCTGAGCTGACTCTCCTTTGCATACAGATGAGGTTCCCCAAGGAGGGGGTCTGTCCCAGGACCTGCAAGCTCACATGTTCTGCTCCCCCTGCTCAGAGCGCCATGTGGGCACAAACCAGCAGGTGTCTGCAGGCTTCCCTACTGGCTCAGGAGCTGGCCCCCCCCACCCCACCCCCGCCACCAAAGCCAGCTCAGTTGGGCTCTAGAGCTTGGGGACTAACCCTGTCATGGCCTAACCATAGCCCATGCTGGGCCTGGCTAATGGGAGACACAGTCAGGGGCATGATAACAGCCCCTGCCCTCAAAAAACCTTTCCCTTGAGCATGAGACATTGAACCACAAGCAAAACTGTCTAGTCAAGGTGTTTCTTACAGAGCAGGCTCACATTATAAAATGCGAGTCTCTAAGCTCGCCCCAGCAGATGGGCTGCAGCTGAGCCAGCCCGGTTGCCTCTCACCTGCCCACCTCTGGCATTCCCAAGTCAGCCGTGCTCACGCCAGGTCACAGGGACAAGAAGAAACTGGTCGCTCTGGGAAACACGGAGCTTTCTGGGGACCTGCTGAATTTATGAGAGCCCCAGAGTCCTCTGGTAACTTTACAAACTTACACAGAACTTGATCAGGTGGAAGCAACAAGTCAGGGTGTGGGCAGAGTCAGTTCAAGTCACCGAAAAAGCAAGTCAAGACACAGAGGAGGTAGAGGACACTGAGCAATCACAGGGGGACATAGTCAGGCCCCAGGGCTCCCGGACCCGATGATGGGACTTTCTGCTGACAACTTATTTAAAATTAGCTTATGTTTATCTACAGCTCCCATCATTATTTTTTTAAAACCCACTCTGGTGCCATTGTCGCAACACCATGTTCTTCTCGCTCTGGCCCTGGAATGGCATTTCCAAGCCCATGTTTCTTTTGCTCTACTCCCCCCATACTGCCCTCCAGAACAGCTGGAGGGTTTCAAGACATCAGTGTGTGCCCCCTTGCTCCAGCCCGCTGGTTCCAGCTGAGGGTGCTGCACAGACTGTCTTTGTTAGGATGTTTTCATTTGAAAGCAGCAAACCCCACTCTGACGGGTTCAGACTGTGATAGATCATAGTGGCCGTCAAACAGCATTTCATTGAAACGAAAACTCAAGCTCAGTCACGATGTGCAGGGTGTGACACGGCGAAGCCTGCTCAGGGGACACTCAGAGCCCTGCTGGGGCAGAGGCTTGTCAGGGCACTAGCAGAGTTCGGGGACGGAGGGCCTCAAGGTCAGAGCTCCCGTGCAGCTTCGTGGTCTGGGGCCAGAGGGCACAGACAGCTAGTTCCTTACGTCCAGACCGGGTGGGGAACTCTGAGGTTGAGTCAGAGCAGGATGTGATCTCTGAGGCCAAAACTCCATCACGTGTGGGCTGCAGTTAGGTGAGTGGAAAGTTACTGAGCTTGGCAAGTTTTTGGAAGTCTTGGCAGGGCTCGTGGGACCGAGCGTCAGGCACGGCTTGATCAGAGACCCGCTCTGTTTCTCTGAGACTCCCCCAGCCTTTCCCTCCCCCTCCTTTGGCTTTGCCCCCCACCCAGCCTCCCACCATGGGCCTGAGTCGGCCACCAGCTGCCATCTGAGAACGTGCCCCCTTACCTCTCGTCACACTTTCTTGGCCAGATTAGCTTGAGCCTGCCCTGAGGGCTCAGCTGAGCCTGCCCTCTGCACTCCCATCCACTTATCAAACCCTCAGCACCACTCAGGAGCCCGCTCAGGTGTGTCCGCCCAGGGCAGCACCGTCAACATGACTCGCCCAGAGCCCAGGCCCCACTGGCGTCGGCTGCACAGCCACACGTGTCTGTCTCGCTACTCGACTGCCCCGGCCCTTGCATGGGTGATGGAGTCTCTGTGTCTACCTGCGTGGTCTGTCATAGTTGCTGGCACCACGTGTTGGCAGAATGAAAGAATGAAAGGATGAGAGAATAAGAACCAAGGTCCGGTGTCCAGCGAGGGGCAGCCGGCCTCACATGCTTTCCCCAGGGGCCTCCAGAACCTTCTTTCCCTCTGCCAGGTCACTGCAGGGAGCCTCCGCACTGGGAGCACGAAGCTGCAAAGAGGATCTATCATTTCGTGGTGGGACAGACGGTTCACTACCAGTGCATCCAGGGGTACAGGGCCCTGCAGAGAGGTCCTGCCCAGAGTGTCTGTGAGGTGGCCTGTGGGAAGACCAGATGGACCCGGCCCCGGCTCACATGCGTGGATGAAATGGAGCCCAGCCCGTTTCCAGGTAGGGCAGCTCCCTGCCGGGGTCCACAAGGCTGCCTTTCTCTGCCAGGCAGACAGGTGGAACCCCTGACCTCACCTACTGTGTGGCTTTGGAGAAACCTCTCCATCTTCCTGGGCATCCATTCTTTTCTCTTTCTAAAAACAATATACCAGATGGACCCTGGGCCCCTCCTGTACCCTGAGTCGGGGGAGCCAGCTAGAGATGGAAGAAGAGGCAGGGTCTGGCAAGGGTTCCACAGCCCCCCACATGCTGCCTCTCGTCTGCCTGGTCCTGAGATTCCTCCCTTTGCCTAAGCCACCGAGGTTTCTGCTAGTTCAAAGGGAAAGTCTAGCTGCCCACCCCACACATTTCACCTTTTACCGGTGACTGTGTAAGTCCACGATTGTGCAGGGATCCGTGTTTTATCCTTGTAATGCCCCGTCTGAGCTTTGCTTAGAGTGCAAATGTGCAGAGAAGAAGCTTCTCAAGTGCATATCTTGGTTCTGAAATGGTACTGGTATTTCAGAGGAACCCAAAGTTCCCTAGGGCGACCTGTGAGTGTTCCTGGTTCCTTGCTCACCCTCAGTCCTCGTTCCCCAGGTGTTCCTCTTGGGCCCTCTGAATTGCTCTCCCCCGACTGGCCTCCCACAGGCCAGGTCGCACCTGCCTTCTCCGTGTCAGAGGCCAGGCGGGGCAGGGCCCGCTGACCACCCTGGGCAGTGGGGGGAAAGCCATCCCTGTGGGTGTTCCTCCCTCATCCAGGGGTTTGGCACGATGTGCACAGTAGGGCCCATCTCCAAGTCACAGGGGAGACCAGAGCTGAGGGGGAAACCCCGGGAGCAAGCAGTGCTTAGAGCTGCACGGACGGCCAGGATCTGGGCTAGAACTCCCTCTCGCCCACACTATCCAGGTCACTTCAGTGCTTCCCAGTGGCTCTGGGGTGGAACCACATGATCTGGTGTCCCCAGAGATGCTCCCAGCCCTGTGGGCCCACCAGGGCGGGCTGCCAGGGGCCGGAGGGTAGGGGTGAGGCTCCAAGTCCTTGGCTAGCTCTTCACATCGCTGTCTCTCTCCTGCAGGTGAAGAGGCATTTCAGGCAAGCCCCGAAGACCTTCCTGAGATGGAGACTTCCTGCTCCCTCACGACAACAGGTATGGGAGCTCGGCCACCGCATTCTGACCTTCAGGGTGATTACCAGAGGCAGCCCTGGGCAGATGGGCAGAGGTGGCTGCAGTGCGGGCAGGAGAAGACTCCCAGGGGTCCTCCAGAGCAGGGGCAGGGTGGGCTGCCCCAAAGCAAGCCCCAGGAAGAGGGAACACGGACCAGGGGTGTCCAGGCACGGGTCTCCCTGCTCCCTCTTCCCAGACCCTCAGCTTCTGATCCATGCTGAAGCCCTGTTCCCTCCAGCCTCCAGGGGCCCTCACACAACCGTAACCTGAGCACCTCCCTCCCTCTCTCTTTTCACAGATTATCAGGACTATGCAGAAGCAGCCACAACCACAGAGACAGTCCCATTTACCACAGAGACATTCCCATTTACCACGGAGTACCAGGTGGCAGGTAGGTGGTGATGGTTGTGGACAGAAGGCTGAGATATGGGCAGGTTGGCCAGTCGGGTGGTTGAAATGACCCCTTCCCACTCTGCACAGTATTGACAAGAGTGAATGACTGGCCAGACGCTTGTGCCTCAGGGGTCAGGCCCAGGGCCCCACAGTGAGGCTCGGGCCAGTCCTGCCGCTCGGAAGCATGACAATCCCCCATGGCCTCTCTCAGGAAAAGAAGGCCAGCAGCCAAGTGGGCAGGGGACAGGAGACAGGAGACAGGGGACAGGCTTCCAGAAACCCTGCACTTGCTTCCTCATTGGGAGGAACAGGCTTTGAGGCTGCGTCTGCCTGGACACTGAGAGGCAGCTGCCCCAGAGCCTCAGCGTGGCAGGACAGGAAACCACGGTCACTTTTAAGAGGCATCAGTGTGTTTATCCCTTATCTCCTCATTTCAATACGTCCTTCACCGGGTGCAGGCCTTGCTCACGGCCTTCTTAAATGAGGACTGGCTTCTGAACCTTTCTAAAGCTCCTCTCCCCTCCAGGAAGGCCCCTGGGGAGGTTTATGTTCTGAGGAGGGGAGTAGACACTGCCTGTCAGCCTTGGGGATGGTCTCCACTGCCCTGGGGCCCGGCTCCACTGCCCTAGTGCCACACACAGGGCCCCTTTGCTGAACGATCTCTCTGTTCACAGTGGCCGGCTGCGTCTTCCTTCTGTTCACCATCTTCTTACTGAGTGGGTTCACCTGGCAGCAGAGATGGTGAGTCCAGCCTTACCAAGGAGGCGTGTTGTCAAAGAGCAGTGCAGGGCTGGCATGGTGACTCCAATCTGTCATCTCAGGGCTTTAGAAGGCCAAGACAGGAGGATGGGTTGAGGCCAGAAGTCTGAGACCAGCCTGGGAAACAGAGTGAGAACCCCCCACCTCTAGAAAAAAATTATTTTTATGTACCTAGGCATGGTTGCCTGAACCTGTAGTCCCAGCTACTCAGGAGGCTGAGGCAGGAGGATCATTTGAGCCCAGGAGGCTGAGGCCGCATCAAGCTGTAATCAGGCCACTGCACTCCAGCCTGGGCAACAGTGAGAACTTATCTAAGGAGAGGAGAGGGGAGGAGAAAGGACCCAACCCTTTGCCCAGGCCAGCCCCATCCCTCCACTGAACACTCTCAGCATAGGGAATGCACAGGGAACAGCCAATCACGTCTCCCCAAAGGGTCTTTCTGGAAGAATTAAAGCCCATAAACAGGAGAGCAAAGGAAACCAACATTCACTAAGTGCCCACTGGGCGCCTGGCCCAGTGCTTGTCTCAAGGCCATTATCATAGATTGTTTTCCCAGAAACCTTTGAAATAGGTATGGTCCAGGGAGATTCAATAGTTGGACAAGATTACAGGGCAGAGGCCAGCCCTGCAGCCTGAATCTAGAGCTCCGAGATGTCCCCGTCCAGCCCCTTCCTGGAGGGGTAGAGGGCAGCATCTGCACTGAGTGCTACCTGTCCTCGGTCCTCTCCCACCTCTGCATACACTCAGCATCCCCTCAGCCAGCGGCACCACCCCGCGTGGCCTTATTTGCCCTGAGTCATTTTCTCAAACCCGGGTGCTCACTAGAACAGCCAGGAGAGAAGCTTAAACTACCAAAACTTGGGTTCCAACCAGGCCCTCTCACGGCGGGCCCAGACCTCAGCATTCTTATTCTTAACGGAGGTAAAGTTTATGGTTTAACCATCTCAGGGGCACAGCTCAGTGGGGTCTTAGTCTGTTTTGCACTGCTGTAACAGAACGCCTGAGACTGGGTAATTTACCAAGTACAGAGACCTATTTCTTACAGTTCTGGAGACCAGGGGACCCACACCTGGCCAGGGCCTTGATGCTACGTCATCCCCTGGCAGAAGTGGGGAGGGCAGGAGAGAGCTAGAAAGCCAAACTCTCATCTGTAAGGAACCCGCTCCCTCACGAGCAACACAGTCCAGTCTCCAAGGCAGAGCCCTCAGGGCCCACCCTGAAGTTCACACTGAAGTGGTTACACTGGGGCTGAGATTCCAACACTGGGGACAAGATTCCAACACAGTCTTTGGAGGACACATTCAAACCACAGCCAGTGGCATTTTGTAGGCTCACAATGTCGTAGAGTCACCACCATCTAATTCCAGAACACTTCCACAGCCCCAGAAGGAAACCCAGCAGTCTCGGTCCCTAGCTCCCCAGCTCCCCAGCCCCTGGCAACCCCTCCTTGATTTTCCATCTCTGTGGACTTGCTACTCCAACACTCCATGTCAGTGCAATCAGGCAGCCTTTTATGCCCACGGCGTTAGTGCTTTGGAAACGCCCTTTGGATGCATTCAGTAATATGCACCTGGCTCTGACAGCCCTTCAGTGCAGATTCAAACATGCATCAGACTGAACTTGAGGGACACAGAGGGATGACCAGTGAGTGTAGGGGAGGCTGCGCCCGCTGGCCTGATCAGCTCACTGCCCTCCGTGTGCATCAAACATCACCATGTGCCCTGCAAGTAGGGACAGTTTTGTGTCCACTGCAAAACACCTATACATAGGATCAACTGAGGTGTTTGCTCAGCACAGAGGACTGGCCCACCCCCAGGGTTTCTGGTTGGGGTCTGAGAGTCTGCGGGTTCTCCAGCAATGCGGATGCCGCTTTTCTGGGGAGCAAACTCCGAGAATCACCCCACTAGGCTGACGGGACTAAGACTCGTGAGACCGAACCTTTTCACAGGAAGGCAAGTCTTACTGGGAAAAGCCGATTTCTCCCTCCCTTTAAAGAGCGAACTGCAGAGACCCACTACTTCTCTCTCTTGGTGATCTGGAGGGCATTCCCCACCCCAGCCAGAGTGAGGTCCTGCCAACCCTGAGGGTGAGTGTCCTGAGAAGACGCAGATCAGCCCCCACTATATCAAAGCTCTTACATCCTCCAGTGAGCCCAGCCAGAGAGAAGACAGATCACATGCCTTCCCTTGCTATAATGGCCTGGTGGCCCACAGTATACTCCGAATTTTCTTCCTGCATTAAAAGATGAAGTTATTGCAGTGCAAATGATAAGACCACCAGGGGAACTGGTCATGTAGCTGGCCCTGCCCATTCGTCCAGCTGTCATTTTAGCCATACACGAGCTGACGTGTGCAGAATGCTCCCGCTTTGTGGATACCCAGTCCTTCCTCGTACCTCGCAGGAGTGTTTCATTTGGTAACTTGAAACCAACAGCCTCAGACAGCGATGACAAGGCTATTTGAGAGTGGTAACGGCTCAGTGTTCACGTCAGGAAACAAAGAAACGCATGAAACTATGCACGTTCCCACTAGGTCTCCCAGAATTACGATCTTCCAGGAGACTCCAACATAAATCTTGAAATGATCCCCCTAGTCAAGAGTTTGTCAAAAATCCTTCTTCTTAGAATCTAATATCATCAGGTAGTGCCCTCTTGTGGCAACAGAAATCCTGCATTTGAATTACTAAATGATAACCATATGGGAGCCAGAGAGTTTTGCTTGGGGTTTTTTGTGTTGTGTTGTTCTGTTTTGTTTTTTAAGCAGTTACTATGAGCCAATGATATGCCACAGCAGACTCGCACTGGCTCGTGACAGCAATAGTTAAATCTTCAGGAGTTTAGTAAACTGATTAAGCACAGCCATCGTTAAAAATTAATAATTCAATAAGTGATAGTCAATTTATATTTAGTCAATTACATTAAAAACAAATAATTATATTTAAAAAGGCAATAAATGCTTAGAACTAATCATGCCCTAATTATTTTGTTGCATTTTACTACTGTCTTTGCCCCCAGGGTTACTTATACTTGCTGAGTCTGTGTGGTAGAAACACTGCACGGTGGTGGCTACCACGCTCTCAAGTTCATATGCAGTCATGTCACAGTGAGAGTATTTACACCAGGGAAATAGGCATCTTCCAAGAGCTGTTTGTTAAACATTCCCCCCACACCTGTGCTCAGCCTTGTCACAGGGCACCTTTGGGCAAAATGGGAAGAAACCAGATTCTCACATAAGCTAAGTAAGGAGTAGAAAGGGTCTCAAACCATACCATCCACTGCTAGTGGCCACTAGCCATCTGTGGCTATTTAAATATAAAGTTAAAGAAATTAAATAAACAATTCAGTTCCTTGGTTTCATAGACCCATGTGGCCACCCTACTGGACCCCAGAGTTACAGAAGGCTTCCATTGACTCCAAAGTTCTGTAGGAACTAGGAGTTTCAATTTACGCAGATCACTTAGGACATTAGTTATTGTTATTATCCATGTTCCATAGTTATTATCTTTCAAGTACCTTTAAAAGAAAAATTACAGAACATGTTCTAAGTGCCAGGTGCCCAAAGATGAATACACCAGGGAGCCTGCAGACTCATAGTGGAGAAGAGGAACAAAAATACTAACTTCAGATGAAATTTGTTAAAGCCTGACATTGAGGCGGGCTCAGAGCAAAGAGAGAGGACCCTACTTGGGAGTTCAAAGAAGGCTTTAGAAATGATGGTGCCTGAAATGCATAAAGCCAAAGAGAGGCAGAGAATGGCATCTAGGCAGAGGGAGTGTGAAGAAAGGTTAACGGCTGTAACCTGCATGAGCACTTGTATGTGGGAGAACTGGGTGCAATGGTGGCACTGATGCTGTGCCACAGGGCTGTGGTCGTGGAAGAGGCAGGACGTAGGGCCAGGCTGGGGATCTTAGAGCTCAACCTGAGGGCAACAGAGAACCACTGAACACTTTCCCTAGGAGGCAGGCTGTGACACTGGCCATTTGAATGGTCAGGCTACAGCACCGAGGCTGTGTGTAGGTGGGTCAAACAGTGGTGAGAGGTTGACTACATTGTGATGGAATAAATTCACAGAGGAGATGATGACAGCTCGCAGTAGGAGAAAAAGAATCAAGAAACCCTTCAGGGAGGTCAAATAAGCAATATTTGTGGCTGAGCAGAAGTGAGGGTTAAGGAAGGTGGAGGAGTCAGGGGTGACTCAGATCCTGAGGGACTGAGACCAGGGGCCCATCAGTTGAGGTTTATGAAGCCAGCTGCAAGTCACCTCTGGGAAGCCCTCGAGCCTCAGAGGCCTCCGTGTCTGTGGTTGGGGTTTTTTGGGGGGCGGGGGTGGTTTCAGGAGGGTGGATTTTTGCATGTTTCCTAAAAGGGGAAGTCATGTAGGAAGAATGGCAAGTAGGCCAGGAGTGACCAGGCTCTTCTCTCTGTTCTGCAGATGGAAGAGAAGCTTGTAATCGACAATGTCGGTGTGGGACCAACAGACCTTAGTCTTAGGACCTAGACTCACATTCCACACCTAAGGTTACAACCAGCGCATCCCTGTGTATGGGAGGGTATGCATCCAGAGAGGTTTCCCAGCCGGGAGAGAATTTACTTATGACTGATCTATGGGGCAGCCACTCAGAGATGCCTGAGGGTTTTTGCCTTGTCGGGACTCTGGCTAAGGTATAAAGCTTTGACACAAGGTTTGAAGTAACAGATACTCATTTGGAACAAGGCTTAACTTCACCTTTGGTGTAAGGAGTTTAGGTGTCGTGAGATTTTGTATTTTCCTTAACAACTCCCAGGTGTCAATGTGGGTGATAGTGGGGCCCTGTAGCCACCATATCCTAGAATGAGAATTAAAGTGAGGATTTCAAATGAGACATGGTGTCTCATGCCTGTAATCCTAGCACTTTGGGAGGCTAAGGTAGGATTATTTGAAGTCAGAAGTTCCAGACGAGCCTGAGCAAGAATGAGACCCCATCTCTACAAACAAATAGACCATTAGCTGGGCTTGGTGGTGGGCACCTGTAGTCCCACAGCCACTTGAGAGGCTGAGGCAGGAGGATCACTTGGGCCCTGGAGTTTGAGGTTGCTGTGAGGTGTGATGACACCACAGCAGAGCCATGCTATAGTCCAAGGCCTACTCGGCCCCCACATCCCTAACTGCCTGGCCTTGGGGCCAGCAAGGAGAGGGGAGGCTTCCCTGGGCTGAGAACCACAGGGCTGAGGCTTGGCTTGGGATGGAGAGACCTTAAAGTCAGATGTCAGCATTCAGAAAGGTAAAGGTATTAAACCTTACCTTAAAGGGGATGGAATTAAAATTAATAGGTCACTTGGGTCTGAGGTGCACTGCTCTGCTCACACTGATCTAGGGGGGACCATGCTTTTCTTGGTGTCCTATTACACGTGGTATTGTTATGTCTCTACAGGAAGAAGAGTAGAAGAACAATCTAGAAAACAAGAACTTCTAGGTAAGAAGCCAAGAACAGCCAACCAACGGAAGCCAGGAACTCGAGCAAAATCGAAGAAGATAAACCCTCACCAAGAGGTGTCTCTGGGGATCTCTGGGTTTTAGAATGGTCTGAAGTCACATCGCAGGTCAGGCCAGGCCAGGCCAAGCCGGTCACTAAGCTAGCTCTGTGCTATCACCGAGTAGGCTCTGCCCACTCTACACAGTGGTTCCAACATCATTGAAAGAAAAGGGGGAAACAATCAGAACTCTGTCCTATTTCCACGTGTGTGTGTTCATGGACACTCAAATGGTCTGGAACTCTCCACGGTGTATAGAGAAAAGTAGCCTAGGTGAACTTCGTCCCAACTTTCCCCTTTAGGAACATCAAGTGAAACCCTAGAGTACTAATGCAATTAGACACAAGTACACACATGTGCACACATGCACACACATGCATGTGCACATATACACACACAAGTGCACACACAAGCACACACATGCATGTGCACACAAGTACACACATGTGCACACACAAGCTCACACATGCATGCATGCACACAAGTACACATGCACACACATGTGCTCACACACACGCACACATACAAGCACACATGCACATATGCACACAGAAGCACACAGACACAGGCATACACACGCACGCACATACATGCACACTCTCCCAACCCTGTGTAACTAGGCCTGTCCTGGTGAAGGCCCCCAGCCCCTGGTTGACCACCTACTCTCCAACCACATTCCCAAATGCACATCCTTTAAGAACTCCAGGGCTCCAAGTCAGCCTCCTTCCACTAGGTTTTCTGTTTTGAATCTGTGAGCAAGAACAGAGGCCAGGGCGGAATCGTCTGTGGGTGATGCCAAAACAGGCTAACCAAGCCCTTGAGTCCCAGTGTCAGGAACAGAAGGATAAACTGGGTCCCAGGCAATGAACTGCACCTGACCAAAACGTTTTAGCTGTACAGTAGCGGTAGGCGTCTTAAGAGTTTGTTTCTTTGGGATTGCTGTAAATGATGCTCTGGACTTGGCCTGCACTAACTCGATGTTTACGGAAAGAGACACAAGGTGCATTTGTGTATATTCCCAGTAGTGCTTAGAAACCCTGAAAATGAATGCACACATTCAGTGGAACTCAGGAAGAAAAGAAGGCGTGAAGGGGGGGGGGGGCTGGAGGGAGCCGATGCTGATAGAACGTGACCACGGGAGGGGGCACACAGGGGTCCTCAAACACACGGAACCGTTCAGCACATCAGAATCATGGGGCCATGTGGTCACACGGACGCGGGGCACCCAGGCCCCTGGGTCAGCAGGCGTGGGCAGGAGCCCGAAACGCCACATTTTTGACAAGCATGCAGGTGATGCTGACAGTGATGCTGCTGGGACCCTGCTCGGAGAACTGCAGCCTGGCCCCTCTGCACACCCGCCCACCCTCGACTCC